TTGACGCGGGCCGTGTATCGACACAGAGACGTGAGCCTGTTCAATATGTACCTAGTGGGAGGGGACAGCCAGGAGCCTTCTGGAGCGCTGAGCGATATTGAGTATGCGGCCGACTGGACCTCCCGTTCTGGGTTCCACACAATAAGAACTGTGAGACTATGCTGAACGATCTGGTGTTGCATCCCGGTGCATGTCGCTAATATCGCTCTTAGGGCACTCCACTCTTCATGGCTGCAGAGAAGATTGCCTCTCGTTGGATGTACCTCCCACGCGATGCCGTCCGGCACAAGCGACGTCAAGCATATAAAAACCGCGATCCATTTGGCCAGACTATCACACACACTGTCGCTCCACAGGAGGGCCAGGTAGCCTCGGAGCCACCTGAGTTTTGGAACACTCCACTTCATGATCCTGAAGATTTGTACTGGGTCGCCGTCTACAAACTCCTCCATAGCGTGCCTGCCGCACATCCGGTGCCTGCACCGAGGCAGGTTCAGACTCGGAACCTCCTGTTCGGGTATGGAAACGCATCAAATGATCGCAAGGAATTCATGAGTTTTGGTCGGCTGTCGGAGCCCCTAAAGACACCGGCAACCGACCCGGAGATGGTACCGGCCGCATTCTTGCCATGGTGGCTTGTCCTGAAGGAAATCGGAGCAGTCATTGCGAGAGCCCATTATGACTGTGAAGAGGAGTGGAATAACGACACGTTCTACCCCAATTTACAGGACATCTGGTCGCTTTTTGACGACCTGGTCGATACGATGCCACCGGATCTAGAGATCGCGGATTATCTTGACCCCAAAGACGATGCGACACCGACACACCAATCGATACCGGGGAGTGAATCTCCCAGTCAAGGCCGAGCGACGAAGAAACGCAGAACCAATAAAAAGTAGGAATTTTGGTGCATCTATACGCCTGTAGAGATATACAACTGTGGCACTCATTACTGTAGTATCGGACGGAATACCACAGGAAAGCATGGTTGTATGGCAATTGTCCTGCTAAGTTCGATCGAAGAATAAACAAGTCCTGACAGCATACCCCGCACACGTGACAAACCTCTTCATGTCTGGAGCTATTCACAGTACATTCAAGCACATTGTCACCGTTCGAGTAGTATTAGCTTCCTCGTTATAGATTCATCTTGTTAACTAAAGAGCAACTATGTAATCAGATTCTGCACACAAGATAATGCCTGCATCGAACACAAATCTTGTGAGCTACATACGATACGAGTGACCACCTCGAACTGAGATAACGAAGTACTAGTTTATGGACAGGGCGATGCTCGCCCCTGCCACAAAGTAGTGGCTCCTTACCGGGTCTTGGTCATCCAGCATCAATCCAGTGCTAGTGCACGTCATCCAGGGACTGGTCCCATCACATGTCAATAATGGGTACACATGCTTATCACACTAGTACTCATTATCACCTTTGCTTTGTACTCTTACCTTTCACTTGTGAAATACACTCATCCTCACCTCTCTGGCAACTCTTGTTGTTCTTGTGCATGTCCATGGCTCCTGTCCCTGCCAAGTTTTCCTACTCTGGCCAAACTAGATCAACCATCGCACCAAGCACTAGCTCTTGCAGTGCTCACTTGGGCTTGTACAAGGCCTCGGTGACCATTACAAGCCAGTTCCAGGCATGATCAACCTTCAGGTGCTCCACAATGAATTTGTAGCTTGTTGTGAACATGGTCATGCACTTGCAGTGCCCATTGCAACTCAGACACAATCTTCTACAAGCCACACTTGTAGAACTCTCTCCCTCAAAGCCATGGATGAGTGTGAACAAGAAGAATGGGCAGAGAGAGCATGAAGGTTTGCAAGTACATATTGTATAGCCTTATTCTTCTTTGTGTACCTGCTCATGATGTCATCCAGAGGCTCCTGAGGAGGCACTTGCAAACAATTACATTGCTTGAACACTTGGAGCTGATCATGTGACCTCCACATGGTCAAATGAGCCCAACTATGCTCCCATGGACAAGGACAACCACATGGAACTTGGAGATGATGCCACGCTTGGAGCAGCTGATGAGGCTGGAAATGCCCTTGAGTCCATGTGGCACTTGTGCAGGTATGTGAAAGGGTCACATCCATGTGCACCAACTTGCTTACAGTCCAAGCAGGAAGAGGCATTACTGCAGCTGTGCCAGGCATTGAGCTGGTGCAGGTGTGCATGCCTGTTGATTGGCAGCAACCACACATTACTGGGATGCACAAGTACCCAGTCTTGTCCAAGCTTATCTCACCTGGTGCCATGATCCCCCACCACTGGCAGAAGTGCAAGGAGCCCCTCAGGATGGTCAAGGGCAGCCCCTTCATCTTCTTACATGGGATGGTATGTGGTTCATTCCCATGTGAGCATGAGCTTACAGGCATCCTGTTAGGGCAACACAGGCTGACTAGGTCTGCTCACCTAAGAGTACCAAGAGTCTAAGCAGGCAACAAGGAAGTGGAGTAGACCTG